TTATCATTATTTATACTCATCTTAACCCAACGTAGACTTAATTTCATAAATTTAATGTTGATTGAAGTATTCTCATTTTTCAAAATAAAACTTCATAACTAGAGTTAAATATAAAGTTGGGCTTTTAGTTTTGAGGTATAAAATCACTTTCTAATTATACAATAAAATTCTTAAATCTTCACTTTATCATCTTATCACAAATTCCATATCATCTTTCAATTGTCCCCTGGTACCAACACAACACCACCCAACCCAACTCATCTCAAACTCAACATGACCCAACACAACACAACTCAACTCAACATAATTCAACATGATTCAAACACAATTCATCATAGTCCAACACAATTCGGTTCAACATTATTCAACACAACTCAACATAATCAACACTATTCAACATAATCAACACAATTCAACATAGTTCAAGGTGAACTCTTAAACCTTTATTTCATCTTTTCACCCCAAGGCTCATGTCATTTGTATCATTAATAAATCATTTCCCCAATCTTCATTTCACATCATAGCATAATTTACAACATCCATAATAAAGGTTCAATCGCTAATTTTTAACATAATTTTCAAACACCTCCAAAATCCAATTAAACTTGTACATATATAATTCAACCTACCAATTTCATGAATCCACTTTCAATTTGGGCAAAATCATTAATTATCATAATGAATCAACTTAGGGTTTTCAAGGAAAATTAAGATTTTCAACAAAAATTCAAACTTCTTAAACCACTACTTTTAATTCCAATTTCCCTCTTGATTATACACCTAAGATTCATAATCCACCATATTAACCCAACAATTGAACCCCCAATACTTCAAACCCTAAACCCCCAAAAATCATAAAGTACACTATATGCTCAAAATGTGGGTTTTACATGTATATAATCAAAATATCACAAATCTATCTATTTATGGAAGTATTGAAGGAGAAATAGGACCCCTACCTCAAGAATCAAGCAAAGGAGCAAGCTTTGGTGAGATTCCTTCGCAAATCCGAAATTCCAATCGGTAGAAAATGTTGATCTTCAAGCCTCTTCACTTTCTTGGTAGGAGATCTTGGCCAATCCTTAGGGAAATGGAAGGTATTTGAGGTAAAAAACCTAGGGTTTTTGGACTTAGGGTGAGAGGGATGAAGAGAGAAGGTAGAAGTGTGAAGAATGATATAGAAAAATGCTTTTAAACTTGCTAAATTCGCGCGGTTTGCTCGATCGAAGAAAATCTCGCTCGAGCGAGCATGCTTTCAGCACAGATTTTAAAACTTCAAACAGGCATAACCCTCTCATCCGGACTCCGTTCTAGGTCGTTCTTGTGTCCAAATCGAAGCCCCGAAAATAAGCTTTCTAATGGTTCTAGCCTCACATCCAAATTCAAAGTATGAAAAAATAAAAGGGCAAAAGAGTGACGGTTGTTCGAAAACTCAAACTCAAATTTGGGGCTTTTTATCGAATCTTATCTAAATACCTTGTTAAGGCTTCAATCAAGGTTCCAAACATCACCCAAGGGTCCTCAATTATAATATTTAAATTTCACTTGCCAACCTATCAATATCAAGAGTCCGACAACCATACAAGTTTTAAGGTGACGGGCATCACTATACATCAATCCAATGTGAATTAAGATCTGAGTCATTACAATCTTCCCACCTTATGAAATTTCATCCTCGAAATTGCTTCCGTTCTATCAAAAATAGCAACAACCTTATGCTCACTAATTCTTAACAACCCCTAGTTCACAACAAAGCATGAGAGCACCCATACATATCTACCAAACCTTAACAACTTTCAATTACACCTCACTTCAATTCTAAACCCAAAAATACAAAGTGTTACACACATTTTACATGTCCACTTGAGCGTATGAAGTTATGCTCGAGCGAAGACCCTGTTTTTAGCAATTTCTGTTTAAGTGTTTTCAAGTGCTTTTTTGCATCCTCTTTCCATCGTAGGCATTTTTAGGCCAAGTTTAAGACACCATAATGAGAATAAAGAAGTAGAAACATACCAAGACAAGAAATAACTAAGTTTATGATTCCAAATGTGTAATTCAGTACGTATTCGATCTGTATCTGTGTAGGTCACGCGCCACGAGATATCTAAATTGCCTACTCTGTCTATTACTTGGGGCTATCTATTATCTGTGAGTAATAACTTAGTAAAGCTATGTTCAAGTTAAATTATTTTTTGTATATGGAATAAGATCTGTTCTATGAAATGCCATGTTTAATACTATGAATAATTGTCCAACTCTGACAAATGTTGGTGGTATTTATGCTATGATTCAAGTATACTATATGTACTCAAACCAGAGGTTCCTTTATGGAACTGACAAGTTATTTGTACCTGGCTGGAGGTTCCTTATGGAACTGACAAGCTACCGTTCCCAGTCCGGAGGTTCTTTTATGGAACTGACAAGTTATCCGTACCCGGCCGGAGATTCCTCTATGGGACTGGCAAGCATGATCTACGATGATATGTAAATGATCTGTTAGCGCTAACGGATGAACTATGTATGATCAAGCATGAATTCTGAATTCAGTATACGCATTGAATAAGAATATGAATATGAAATTATTCTATGTACAAGCTTAGTCATGGGACATCATTCATTTAACCCTTTACTCTGTTATTATTCACTGGGCTCTCGCTCACTATTTATATTATGTATGTAGGTGATCAGGCACGTGACTAGGCTTAGAGTTGAGGACTTGGCATTTCAGTTTTTGTCAGCCAACCTTTGTGCCTCCCGAGGAGGTTCCAGATTAAGTCAAGTCTAGTGGCTATGTTATTTATGACTGTATAAGACTTTGTTCCTTTTGCTCCATGATCAATTTTTTTTAAAATTTTTTTTATGTACATGAAGTGACGTGTAAATACTGTATCTTTTGACGTCACTCGTATGTTTATAAAAGTTTAAGATTATCAGTCACATGTATGTCTTCATAGCTCGATGGACTATGTATATTTTATGTATTTGCTTCCGTAGCCCCTAATTATTCATTATTATGTTAAGAGGCCTTTGGTAATCCAATGATTACTGGCCGGTTACGACGTTAAACCTATAGGAGCAGGTTTGGGTCGTGACATCAATGGACTATGTATGTTTTATATATCTGCTTCTGCAGCCCCTTATTATGTGTCGATTTGTTCAGAGGCCTTTGGTAATCCCAGGATTACTGACCAGTTACGACGTTAAACCTATAGGGACGGGTTTGAGTCGTGATAAAGTGGTATCAGAGCACAAGTTATACTGCACCCTAGAGTCCATATGAGCTATAGGATGTCTTAGAAAAGAAGTAAGGACATTTCATCTGCATGTGTGAGTGTGTGTTAAGTTCTATAAATGTGAAAACTGAATCTGAATACGAACATATCAAATTGGAAGGAATGAATTGAAACTGACTACTCCGAACGCATTGAACAAGATTATTCCTATGTTTATTATTGCCTTGTTTACCTATAGTAACATGAAAAATGCAAGGAGTAATGATACAACCGAATCTTTTGAAGCCTGAATGAGCCGAATGCAACAAATGCATGCAGCCTTAACAGAATCTTTGAGGCAACAACATTTGCCCCATCCGCCTTCACTAGTGCAAGTTGAACTGGATAACAATGATATCATTAACCTAACTCAGAAGTTCACGAAGATGAAGCTGTTGAACCATAAAGGCAGAGACATGGTTACTTGAAATGGAAAAATTATTCGAAGTGTTTCCCTGCTCCGAGACTCAGAAGGTTCTCTTGGCCACCTATACCTTAAAAGATAAAGCCCGAAGATGGTGATTGCTAATCCGAAATAACAATGGGAACATGACATGGGTTCAATTCAAAGAGATCTTCTACGACAAGTACTTTCCTCAGTGCTTTTGGGATCAAAAAATTTCTGAATTTCAAGAACTCAAGCAAAGCAACATGTCAATAGCAGAGTATGAGGCTAAGTTCACGGAGTTAGCCCGATTTGCACCCCACATGGTTGACACAAATTACAAGAAAGCTCGAAAGTTTAAAGGAGGCCTAAATATGGATATCTTTGACTGGGTGGGAGTGTTAAAACTACCCATATATGTGGGTGTTCGTAACAAAGCCTTAATGGCTGAAGGCAACCTAGCAGCCCTGAAACAAACCAAGGCCCCAACAACAACAACAACAATAATAGAATGAAGAGATAAGAGGTCCGGGTATGGTTTCAGAAAGGGTCGCTCTTTTGTAAACAAAAAACAAAGCACGGGGTCTACAAGTAGCTTAAGTCAGAGCAGTGGGTCTATTCCAGTTTGTCCTAATTGTGGAAGGAAGCATAAACGTGTGTGTTACCGTGCATCTGGTGTCTGTTTTCGATGTGGCAAGACATGCCATGTAGTGAAAGATTGTCTACTAGGGTCCAATAATACCAACCGTCCTGTGGCAAGTTCAGCCGGATCTGCTTCTGCATCTAGAACAAATACGAGAGCAAACACTGGAAGAGAAACCTTAAGAAAAGGCCAAGTTTTCGCACTAGTGCCTGGTGATATGCAGAACACCGAAGCTGTGGTGTCAGGTATAATTTCCATTTGTGCTCAGAATGTGTATGTATTGATAGATTCTGGCTCTACACATTCTTTTGTATCACATGTTTTTTCATGAAAACTGACTAGACCGTTAAAACCTATGAATTATTTATTATCTGTATCTATGCCATCTGGAGGTTCTATGGTTTGTGCTTATGTTTATTAGGCATGTGATATTGTGATTGGTGATGTGGCATTGCATGTTGATTTGTTGCCATTGGGTGTTGATCATTTTGACTACATACTTGGTATGGATTGGTTGACGAAGTATTGTGCAACTATTGATTGTGTGAATAAAACTATTGTGTTTTGACCACCTGGTATACCTGAGTTTGTATTTGTTGGGAATGGGATAATTCCTCTACCATACTTGATTTCTTCTGTGAAAATTAGAAAACTGTTGCGAAAAGGGTGTCGAGGTTATTTATGTTGTGTTCTAAATATGATTGTTGATACTGCTAATGTCGAGAACATCCCTGTAGTTAACGAGTTTCTTGATGTGTTTCCTAATGATTTGCTTGGAGACTTAATTGATAGGAAAATCGAGTTTATTATTGATGTTGTACTTGGAACACAACCGATTTCTAAAACCCCATACCGAATGTTAACCTTTGAATTAAAAGAACTGAAAGTCCAACTCTAAGAACTACTAGACAAGAATTTTATTTGCCCAAGCACTTCACCTTGGGGTGCTCCAATCCTATTTGTAAAGAAGAAGGATGGATCATTAAGACTGTGTATACATTACAGAGAATTGAACAAAGTGACCATTAAAATTAAATATCCATTGTCTCGAATTGATGATTTATTTGACCAACTCCAAGGAGCACAAGTGCTCTCTAAGATAGACCTTAGATCTGGGTATCACCAATTAAAGGTTAAGGCAGAAGACATAGAGAAAACTGCATTTAGAACTAGATATGGACATTATGAGTTTTTAGTAATGCTATTTGGAGTGACAAATGCACCTGCTGCCTTTATAGACCTTATGAATAGGGTGTTTAAATCATATTTGGATGAATTTGTTGTTGTATTTATCGATGATCTTCTAATCTACTCTAAAATCAAGAAAGGTCATGAGAACCATTTGAGAATTGTGCTACAAACTTTGAGAAAAGAAATTGTATGCGAAACTCTCCAAATGTGAATTCTGGCTAGACAATGTGACATTTTTGGGGCATGTAATAAATAAAGATGGCATCTCTATTGACCCACAGAAAATTGAAGCTATTGTGGATTGGCTAAGACCAACTAACGTATCCAAAGTCAGAAACTTTTGGGGGCTTGCAGGTTATTATCGTAGATTTCTGAAAGATTTCTCAAAACTTGTTATGCCATTGACATAGTTGACACAAAAAAATGTACCATTTGATTAGAATGATTAGCGGGAGTTAGCCTTTCAAGAACTGAAGACTAGGTTGGTAACTACATCAATTCTGACCTTGTCTCATGGTATTAATGGGTTTCAGGTTTATAGCGATGCTTCATATAAAGGCTTGGAGTGTGTGGTAATATAGAATGGGAAGGTGATTGCGTATGCTTCTCGGCAACTCCGACCACATGAAAAGAATTATCTGACCTATGACCTTGAATTGGTAGCTGTGGTTTTTGCATTGAAAATTTGGCGCCATTATCTGTATGGAGCGACTTGTGAAGTGTATACCGATCATAAAAGCTTGAAATATTTCTTTACTAAAAAAGAACTGAATATGAGACAGAGACGATGGCTTGAATTGATCAAAGATTATGACTTGCAAATTCTGTACCATCCAGGGAAAACAAATACAGTGGTAGATGCTTTAAGTCGAAAATCAATTGGGAATTTGTTGTGTTTGCTCACCGGTCAAAAAGAGTTGATATGTGATTTGGAGATGAATGAGATTGATTGTGTTGCGCGAATAGGGTCGAGTTCTAGCTGCCATCTTTGCCCAGCCTGTAATTATCAAAGAAATTAGAGAGAAGTAGTTGCAAGATGAATTTTAAAGAAGATTATGAATGAAATTGACTCAAAATCGAGGTCGGGATTTGTGATTGAAAATGATGTATTGGAATTTCAGGGTAGACTTTGTGTACCAAATCATTCTGACTTAAGAAAACGTATTATGACCGAAGCTCACAACTCTAAATTTGCTATGCATCCAGGGAATACAAAGATGTACCATGACTTGAAACAAAATTTCTGGTAGCTTGGAATGAAAGAAAGTATTGCTGATTTTGTCGCTAGGTGTTTGCATTACCAACAAGTAAAAGTTGAACATCAACGACCTGTTGGATTACTTCAGCCGCTTCCAATATCAGAATGAAAATGGGAGCACATTACTATGGATTTTATTGTTGGACTGCCTCGTTGCTCTGAAGGTATGGACTCTATCTGGGTCATTGTTGACCGTTTAACTAAGTCAGCCTATTTTCTATCTGTTAAAACTTTTTATAATGCAGATAACTTAGCTAATATCTATATGAATGAAATTGTGAGATTGCATAGGGTATCTGTATCCATTGTATCTGACAGAGATCCTAAATTCAATTTACAATTATGGTTGAGTTTGCAACAGGCTTTGAGGACTGAATTGAGATTGAGTAGTGCTTATCACCCGCAGACAAATGGCCAATTAGAAAGAATGATACAGACTTTGGAGGATATGCTCAGAATGTGTGCCCTAAATTTTTAAGGAAATTAGGAGACTTATCTGTCTCTGACAGAATTTGTATATAACAACAGCTATCACTCAAGCATTGGAATGGCTCCTTACGAAGCTTTGTATGGTAGGAAGTGTCGTTCTCCAATTTATTGGGACCATAATTGGTCCAAGAGACAACTGAGAAGGTGAAGCTAATTCAACGTTTGAAAATCGCACAGAGTTGGCAAAAGAGTTATGCAGATGTCTGAAGGCGAGACAGAGAATATGAGGTCGGAGACCATGTGTTTATAAAAGTGACTCCAATGAAAGGTTAGACACGGTTTGGGGTGAAAGGCAAGTTGGCACCAAGATACATTAGGCCATATGAAATTCTTGAGAAAATCAACCCGGTAACGTATCGAGTAGCCTTATCGCCAGTCATGAAGCAAATGCACAATGTGTTTCATATTTCTATGCTTCGGGATTATCTACGAGATCCGTTACATGTGATTGAACAAACTCATGTGATTTTGAAAGATGATTATATTTACAGAGAGCAACCGATTCAGATTGTCAATCAAAGGATCAAAAGGCTAAGGGAAACAAAGAAATTCCACTGGTGAAAGTTGATTGGAAAAACCATAGAGGAACTTATGCAACATACGAAACAGAAGAAGATATGATGAAAAGATACCCTAATTTGTTCCCTTTAGATCTAACATTCTTTCTGACTGAAGGTAATTCGAGTTTGAAAGACCAAACTCTTTAAAAGATGAAGATTGTGACAACCTCGACCTGTGATTATCCTATAATTTATGATTAATAATGTCTAATGAGTAATTAAAAAGAAATTTTGAATTAATTGTATGTGTTACATGTTATTTGTGTTTATATCTGTCTGTCTTAGAAATATCTATCCATGTTTCTGTTTTGTTCTGCGAATTAAAAGCCTTATCGGCATTTGATCACGAAATCGACTTGGTTTATGTGTTATTTAGAATTTTTAAAATTTTGTGGTAGGTTTAATTAGAATTCAATTCGGAACGAATTAATTAGGATAAATAATGTTAGTTGACTAACTTAAGCACATATTAATTAAGCTCCCTAATGAGCCTATATAAGGCCACTTCTAACACCTTTTATACACTTTACATTTTCAATTCCTCATCTTAAGCCTTCAAAACGTAGAGAGAGAGAGAGAGAAGAGGAGATTGAGCTCAATTAGGAGAATTGCTAGGGAACTTGGAAAATTAAGCTTGAATCCTTTGAATTCACACCTAAGGTATGAACTTCTCCCTTAATTCTTGGAAATAAAGTGCATATGAGGTGAATTCATGAGTCATGTAGGAATACTTGCATGAGGTTGAAGAGAACAAGTTAGAATCATGTCAATCATGGAAGAAATGAGCTATTGATATACATGCATACACAATTCTCATGATTTTGAAGCTGAATTCAAAGAATTCTCCACACGCAGAAGCTTTACTTGCAGACTTTGAAGAATCCAACTTGGTTTCACTTGTATTCCTTCAATTGTTCATGTGTTTAGAAGCTTTGAACTTGCATCATTAAATGCATGTTATGTTTTCACAATGTCAAGTTTGATTTTGAACAATTGGCATGTTTTTGGGCCTTGATTTTATGAAATGATCTTTAATTCTCAATGCTTTACAAGCTGAATATGTATTTCTCAAGTTTTGGGATCCAAAGGATGTGTTTTGAAGCATTTTATTTGAGTTTTGAAGCTTGAACTATAATATGGAAATTCCAAAATTTGTAACCTTCGCTCGAGTGGTGGAGTTTGCGCTCGAGCGGAGAACGCAAGGTCTCAGTACTTTTGTAGATGTTGGGGCTTAGCTCGAGCGGCAGAATCTACACTCGAGCGTCAAAATAAGAGCTCCTAGAAGTTTTACAAACTTTTGTAGACCGCTCGAGCAGAGACCCTTTTTTACTCAGTCTTGCGCTCGAGCAACTGTAGCGCGTCCGTTGAGTGGAAAAATCATGCAACCAGTACTTTTGCAAACTTTACAGACCTTTCGTATGTCAAAAGTTGCGCTCAAGCGGACTGTCCTATTTTTAAAAATTTGGCTAAGTGTTTCAAAGCATATTTTGGCATCCTCATTGCATCTTAGGCATTCATAAGCCCTAATTAAGACATAATAATGAGGATAAGGATTAGAAACATACCAAGATAGAAAAGAATTGAGTTAAGGGTTTTCCGAACATGTGTTTCAATGTGTGTGTGTCCGTTATCTGTTGTGTAGGTCACACGCCGTGAGCTATTTGATCTGTCTGCTCTATCTGTCTACTTTTGGAGCCAACTGTGAGTAATAGCTTAGTAAAGCTATGTTCAACTTTATTTATTTTTTGTATGATGCAATAAGATCTGTTTTCTGAAATGTTATGTTCTGTACAATGAATGATTGTCCAATTTCTGAATTGTATTTGTGGCATCCTTAGCATTATGCGATATCTGTTAACTGTTACTTGGTATCGGAGGTTCCATTATGGAACTTAATATGTCTGCAATCTGTTACCTGTACCGGAGGCTCCATCATGGAGCTCAGCATATCTGTTATTTGTTACCCAGATCTGAAGGTTCCTTTATGGAACTGGTAACTTATAACCACCATCTGTTTTGTATCTACTTTGTATCTGTTCTGTTAGCGCTAATGAATGTACCACATATGATTATGCATGAGACTTTGATGTCTGTATATGATGTGAACAAGAATATGAATATGAATCTGCTTTTCGAATCTGATATGGGACATCATTCAATTAAACCCCTTTACTTTGTTATTATTCACTAGGCACTCGCTCACTCTATTATTTATGTATGTAGGTGATCAGGCGCGCGACTGGGCTCAATGATGATTGCCTAGAATTCCATTTTGTCGGCCAACCTTTGTGCCTCCCGAGGAGATTCCGGAAAAGTCATGTGGTTGTGTTTTACGAACTAAGTCTAAGACTTCATTTTCTTTGTGAAATTTGAACAAGTTTCTGTTCATCCGTATGTTGGGCTATGTCCCCTTTTGGCTTTATCTGTATGTGTATGTGTGACGTAAGACTAATGTGTATATATATATATATATGACGTCACATGTTTGTATATAAAGTTTTAAATTTCTTTTCCATGTATGTCTGCACAACTCAATGGACTATGTATGTTTTATATATCTGCTTCCACAGCTCTTTATTATGTGTCGATCTGTTCAGAGGCCTTTGGTAATCCCAGGATTACTGGCCAGTTATGACGCTAAACCTATAGGGGCGGGTTTGGATTGTGGCATCTAATCTTTATGGGATATTAATTCTCTATTTAGAAATATCTGTTTTGGGCTATCGGTGGAGGATAGCCATGATTGTTGTAGAAATTGCATGAGAATTAAAGGAATTGAAACTATTTTCTTATTCATTTGCATCAGTCATTATTTTAAAATTCTACATTGTAAATGTTACTGTTTTGAGAAAATAGGTGAATTTGGGAAGAAGTTATTACATCAAATAAGTTGGCATGTGTGTCTAGGATGAAAGTCTCGAAAGCTGTGCGTATACATGGGTGCCAATCCTGCAGACAAAATTTTTGTAAAATGGCAATAATAGTGCTTGTATAACTTACGTTTACATAGGTCCCGGCTTACGTTTTCCTCCAGACGAAATTTTTGGGAAAGGTAGTATTGTTTTGAAATTCCGAGAGTATGATTCACTACCCTATTTTCTATCGTAAAGGAAATGATTTAGGAAGCATGATATTAACTTGGCATTGCATGGTTTTGGAAAGAAATGGAATATGTTTTGGTACGAGGATTGCATATGTATTCACCTTATAACTTTGTTAAAATTCATATACTGTGTTGGATTATTTATACTGAATTTTGGCTCACCTTATGTGGAAAAAACATTTCACGTGCTGATGAAATGCCTCCGCCAAGGCAATAGCTTGGGAGAACCTGGAGCGAGAGCTTCTTTTGTGTATTTACTACATTTATTTTTGTACTAGCTAAAGGGCTTTAACTGTATTTGACTGAAGTTCATTTTTATTGTAACCAAGAACTATCTTGGAAAGTTATAAGCCTTTAGGGCATTTATTTATCTGCTTTACTTTCTCATCTTATTTCATGCAGTCGAATATGCTATAGATTCAGGGATATGCTTATGAATGTATATCTACATATGCCACTCTATTATAAGCTCAATTGGAATCAATGAAAGATAATTATTTATGTTGGTGTAGTTATTTAATGTATATAATGGATGATTTATAGCAATTATTTCAGGGCGTTACATGTTAAACCAAAAGAAACATATTCAAATGTTTTTTTTAAACAATCTGATCAAACTTGAATTGAGTATCAAACCCATTTGAATGCATCGGTTGACCATGTCAGATTTTTTCTAAGACAAGGACTTGTGTTTCATGGGCATGATAAATCTAAAAATTCAAGTAACCAAGGAAATTTTGTTGAACTTTTGAAGTTTCTTGCTGATCATAATGAAGATGTCAAAGTGGTTGCATTGAGCAATGCTCTACAAAATCTCAAGTTAGCATCTCCTGATATTCAAAAAGACATTGTAAATGTGGCCGCATTTGAAACTATCACTATGATTATTAAAGATCTTGGTGATGCACATTTTTCTATTTTGATTGATGAAGCCCGTGACATGTCAATCAAGGAGCAAATGGCAGTTGTAATACGATATGTTAACAAAAAAGGCCAAGTGATTGAGTGCTTTTTAGGTATTGAGCATGTTGCTAATACGAATGCTCTCTCACTCAAGCAAGCTGTAGAAAATTTACATTCCAGACTTGGATTGAGTATTTCCATATTCCGGGGTCAAGGATATAATGGGGCTAGTAATATACAAGGTGAGTTAAATGGTCTTGAAACACTTATATTGAAGGAGAATCCTTGTGCATATTATGTTCATTGTTTCGCTCATCAATTGTAATTGGCACTTGTAGCCATGGCAAAGAATCATGATCAAATTGCTTTACTTTTTACTTTGGTTTTCTAATGTGGTGAATGTGTTGGAGTATAATGTAAACGCTGATATATTGTTAGGGAAAAGCAAGTTGCAAAAGTTGCTGAAACACTTAATACTGGAGAGCTATCTAGTGGCAAGGCTTAAATCAAGAAACCAATCTTAAACGTGCTAGTTATACACGTTGGGAGAGCTATCTAGTGGCAAGGCTTAAATCAAGAAACCAATCTTAAACGTGCTAGTGATACACGTTGGAGTTCACATTATGGTACTTTAATTAGCTTGGCTAGTATGTTCTCAACCGTGATTAATGCGCTTGAAATAATTTCAAAGGATGGTTCAAATTCAGAACAATGAGTAAAAACAATGTATTGCTAGATTCAATTCAATCATTGGAGTTTGTATTCAAACTTCATTTGATGAAAACGATATTGGCTATTACAAGTGAGCTATTGTAAGCATTACAAAGGAAAGATCAAGATATTGTTAATGCCATGAATTTAGTTCGAATTTCTAAAATACGGCTCCAAAAGATGAGGGAAAGTGGTTGGACATCTTTACTTGATAATATTTTGCCTTTTGTGAAAAGCATCAAATTGATGTTTCCCAAATGGATTATATGTTTGTTGCTCGAGGGAGAAAAATACGCAATGCTCAAGAAATTACAAACTTATATCACTATTGCCTTCAGTTATTCTACATTGTCTTGGATATGAAAATTCAAGAATTAAATGCTTGTTTCACTAAGTCAAACACTGAGTTGTTACTTTGTGTGGCATGTTTGAATCCATCCAACTCTTTCTCTAGATTTGACAAGAAAAAAATTAATTCATCTTGCTGAATTTTATCCAAAAGAATTTTCTCTAGTGGAGCTCATGATACTTAATGATCAACTTGATACATATATTGTCAATATGTTATCCAATAGTGAGTTCTTAAGGTTGAATGGAATTGCCGATCTTGCTAAGAAAATGGTGGAGATTGGAAAAGACAAAGTATATTCATTGATGTATTTGCTCTTGACTTTAGCATTGATCTTACATGTTGCAACTGCTACTGTTGAGGGGGTATTTTTAACTATGCATATTTTGATAAATCAGATGTGGAACCGAATGAGTGATATGAATAGATGAATGATAGCTTGGTTGTCTACATTGAGAGAGATATTTTTTTATAGCATTGACAATGATAAATGGAAAGCTTTCAAAAGATGAAAACTTGTCAAGATATTGTAAAAGTTTAAAATTAAAATTTTTTTGTAATGAATATTAAGTTTTTATGTTTAATATTAGCTCAAAAAATTATTATTATTATTATTAATTAGGGAAGAAAAATCTTAAGATTATAATTAATAGGTGCCCCTCCTATATTAAATTTCTAACTCCACCACTGCCCACCATGCTTTGCTTCGAGCATATATGACAATTGAAAAGATCTTTTTCTATTTGTCTTTGCTTCATGCTAACTTGTTACTAGTTTTAAGGCATAGCTTTAGAAATTGTTGTGGATGACTATAAGTTGATCGTTGGATTTGCTACTGATGATGATATAGTTAGATAGTTATATAGATACATATAAGAGGCTGTAATGATAATATTTCCACATATTTGATTAATTCTTGTGGGGATATATTTTCTGAGGACCAACACGTGGCCAAGGTGACGCCGATGTGTCAGCCGAGGTGCCACGTGTCGTGGTCTTAACACCGAGATTATCTCAGTTAAGCCGAGGTTATCTCCGAAGATATCAAAATCCGGGATAAGTGAATAAGGGACAAGAGACCTAGATTGAGGAAGGACTTCAGTCTGAATAACGATAAAGCTCTTAGGGAGTTTATCTTTATTTATTGAAGAGTCCAGGATAAGCACTGAGCAAAAGTCCATTGAAACTAGGCTTCTATTGGGACTAAGATTGAGTTAACTATAAAAGAGAGGCACCCTCATGGGTCTAAGGTATGTAATTTATATTCTGAACAGTGAGTTAAGCACTTGGTTTATCTTTGAGAGATAACTGGCTTGATCATCGGAGTGCCCCCGGGTGGACGAACCACCGTCGGAATCTCTTCTTTCTGTTGCAGGTCAATCAGGTGCCATCTATTCTGCCAAGTTCTCCCCAGCTGAATACTGAGTTGGCAGTGTAGTCAGAAATTCACTCACACAATTTGGCGCCATTTGTGGGAAAGAAAGGATAATAGATGGCCAGTGACGGACAGAAGGATAAGGTGGGGGGCAAAATCCCTGCTGGGAACGATAAACACGTAGACCCTAACATAGAGGAAGATGGTTGCAACGAAGAGACTCAAAACCAGAATCACGGTAAGGAAGACGTCGGCCAGGTGGGCAACGTACCACAGAAGACGGATCGAAGCGGGTATTACAATGAGAACGACCTCCAGGTATGGAAGGATAGATGCCTGCGAAGGGACGGAGAGGTAAAAGAGATGGCAAACAAATTGGCTGACCTGCAATCGGTCGTCAATTTTATGATGCAAAACAACGTCATGCAGCCACCATTCCCGCTGCAGGACACGCTGATTCCAGCGGCCAATGCCCAGAAAGGAGGGCAGAAAATAACCCCTATAGCCCCCCAGCACACCAGGAGCGAAAGACACTCTTATCGGCCTTCAAGAGAGGTCGGGCGAGGAGAGTCGATGAGGGAAGAATATCGAAGGACACATCACACCAAGGAGGTAGACCCCAAAGAACATCGGCATGTTCAAAGGCAGGCGCTGTGCTTCGACACAACTCATGAAGAAAGGTCGAAGAGGGCTCACAACGAAGCTGAAAGTAGCGCACCAAAAAGATTGAAATCAGGAGATAGCCGAGCTCCTGGGCGGACAAAGGAAGACTTGAGAGATTACCTCACGAGGAAACAACAAGATGCTGAGGTAACCTCCCCTGTTAAACCGAAAACACCATTCTTGGTAGAGTTGGACAAATTTGAAGCCCCAAAAAGATTCAGTATGCCGAGGTTCCAGATATACGACGGAAAGTCGGACCCCAACTTTTACGTCGGATTATACCTGAACTCGATGGCACTATACACTGGGAACAAGCCGTTGCTCTACAAGGTGTTCCCCTCATCCTTCGGGGAGATTACATCAGATTGGTTTCACAAATTGCCAAAGGCAAGTGTGAAGACCTGGGAAGGCTTGGCCGAGATGTTTGTGGCCAGGTTTGTGACAAACAAACTACAACCATTAAGGGTAGATGCTTTGATGGCTCTGAGAATCAGCAAGGATGAAGGCCTAAGGGCCTACGCAAAAAGGTATTATGAGGTGTTCAACCGAATACCCGAGTGCAACCAAGAGGTGACGGTCGTATCTTTCAAGAACGGCCTAAAAGATGACTGTCCACTACGAAAGTCCCTGGCAAAGACATTGCCAAAAAGCATGGAAGAGCTTATGGCCAGAATTGAGAAGTAT